TCTGTCTCTCTCTCTCCACCTGTCTGTCTCTCCTGCATGTCTTACCTGATAGTCTCTGTCTTCAGGTTGATTCTTGATTAAAGGGTTCATAAAACGTCCTCATGTCTTCTTTTCTTCTTATTAAAGTTTTCCTCCCTGAACTCTCTACTCCTCCGTCTGGTCTTCTGCTTCTTTCTCTTCTCAGTTTTTATTCTTTTGCCTTTTCCTCTTAATCTCTTGCTGCTCTTCCTCCCTCCCCCTCTTCTTCACTGGTAAACCTCTCAGAGCTCAACTGACTCTCTCTCTCTCTGTCTCTCTCTCTCTCTCTGTGTTTCTCTCTCTCTCTCTCTCTCTGTCTCTCTCTGTCTGAGTGGAAGGAGTGCAGAGTTGACGGAGCGTGTTCGAGAGAGATTAACACTGATTTTTTTCGGTATTTTTTCGTCACTAGTTAACGTTGGATGTGATAGTGTATCTCACGGTGTTTGTGTGAACATTTAGCTGGTTTTGGGGTCTTTGTGAGTGGTTGCAGTCGAGCAGCGCGTGTCGGTGTGCTAAACGCCACCATGGACATGACCGACCTCACGAGGAAACACGGCATAAAGATCCCGCCGACTTTCCCGGTGTCAGTGGAGGAATGCAGCCTGGCTGTGGGTGAACTTGTTGGCCACAGCAGCGTGAAGTCCGCTGCGCGAATGAACAATGCCGTGGTCATCTTTTTAGACACCATCAGAAATGTGGAAGTGGTGATTGACAACGGGATTGAGGTGGGCGATAACTTCTTCCCCGTTTACCCTCTCTGCACACCGGCTGTGAAGGTAACCGTGTCCAACGTCCCACCGTTCATCAGAGATGAAGACATAACCAGAGAACTATCAAGACACGGGAGGATAGTGTCTAAGGTGAAGGAGGTGTCCTCTGGGTGCAGGTCTCCTCTCCTGAAGCACGTGGTGTCTCACAGGAGACAGCTGCTCTTGATCCCAAACAACAGGAGCAAGGGGCTCAACATAGTGTTCACGATCAGGGTCGATGACTTAGACTACCTCATTTATGCAACAACTGATGATTTTAAATGTTTCAGTTGTGGAAAAGTGGGTCATCAGAGCAGAACGTGTCCTGAGAAAAACAGCTCTCATAAGGACCAGAACCAGAACCAGACAGGTACTGAGGAGGGCAGAGGAGACAAGCAAGACGGACAGGACGGGCCAGATGGGGTCCAAAAGAGGAGGGAGGGGACGAGCGGGTTACAGGAAGAGGGGACAAGTGAGACCCAGGAGGTGAGGGAGGAAACAAGTGGGGTACAGGAGGTGAGAAGAGAGAGGGAAAGTGGGGGACAAGAGGTGAGGAAGGATGGGGAAAGTGAGGTCCAGAAGGTGAGGGAGAGTACTGGAGGACAAGTGGAGACAGGTAGGGAGGTGGACATGGAAGCAGACGAGGAGCAGCTCAAAGCCCCTCAGCTGAAGAGGAAACAGCGGAAGCTCACAGGCAAAGAAAGCAGCAACGAGAGAAAGTGGAGGAGCGGCAGAGTGTGAGTCCAGTCTGGAGGAAGACTCTGAGTCCAGTTGCGAGGAGGACTCTGAGTCCAGTCAGGAGGAGGGCGCTGCTGCTGACAGTGAGCCCTCTAAACACAGGGATGGCAGCTGTAGGAGACAGGAGACTACAGCGTGGAGAAGATCAAGGAGTTTCTGAAGAGGAGTAAGAATGTGAGAGGAGCCAAAGTGGAGGACTACCTCTCTGACAAAGAGAAGCTCTCCAGCTCTGCCAGAGCTCACATGAGAAGCAGGGACAGAGGAGGTCTCACGAAGCAGGAAGGCTTCAGACTGAAGAAGATAGTTCACAAAGTGGACAAAGAACTGGACGAAGATGGTGCTAAGTGAGAGTCAGATCTCACAGTCTAAAGACAATCAAAGACACATTTATGTTTGTTGGACTTTATTTGTTTAACCGTCTTAAATGATAAAGAAACATGTTCAAAGAAAATAAAGGTTTTCTAAAAATCAAATTTCTCTCTCTCTCTCTCTCTCTTGCTCTCTCTCTCTCTGTCTCTCTGTCTCTCTCTCTCTCTGTCTCTGTCTCTCTATTAGTTTGAGGTCTGGTATGGTTTCACTGCAGGATGCTGGTGGTCTAGGCTGGGGTAGTGGGCTCCTGGTTGGTGGGTGGACATTGACGCTCTGAAGCTGGTTATTAATACGAAGCATTAAAGAGATCAGACGGTAGTAATAGTTCATATTTACGTTACTTGATCAGATTCTTTTTAGTTAGTTCTTTTTTTAGCTTTTGTTATGAACGTTTTCTCTTCCTGTATTTCACTATATGAATCTAAAGAGTTATTCCACCAGCAGGTTATTTTTTATTGAAAACTCTTATTCACTGAAACACCAATAAATAGTATTAGCTGTGATAGTAGTGGCTTCATGTGATTTAACTGGTAACATTTCAATATTTAAATCTATAACGAAACTATATGCTTCATGAAATAATTTTTAGTGAAATCAGAAATAACAAATCAAACCCTTTAGAATATATTTCCCAAACCTATATGAAGATAATTATTATATTTATTATGTTACAAACTAAATGTTATTCAAATAAATCCAGACGTTAAACTCTGACGTCATTTAGTGTTGACGAAAAAAACTGCGAGGAAGAACCTGTGACGTCATATCTGAGCGCCAGCGGCAGCAAACAGAAAAGATGGCGGACGTGGTGAACGTCGGTGTGAATCTGGACGCTTTCTCTCACGCCATCAGCGGCATCCAGGCGCTCCGCTCCAGCGTGAGCCGCGTGTTCGAGTCCCTGAAGGACGGCATGAAGAACCGGGAGACGCTGGAGGGCCGAGAGAAGAACTTTATATCCGAGTTCCAGGACCACCTGCAGGCAGTCAACAGAGACCTGAAGTGAGTCTTCCACACCAGACCCGGGGTAGACACCAGACTTAGACAGACAGCAGACTGTGACCCGGGGTAGACACTAGACTGTGACCCGGGGTAGACAGACACCAGATTATGGAGCTAAATCCAGGTCAAAAGTTTTGTTCATTTGAAAAAAAAAAATTTGAACCTGAAAGTTCCAGTTGTGTTCTTGAACATTGAAAAATACAGCAATGTATTCAAAATATAAATAAGTGAATGAAAAGTTTTTTTGGGTTGAATATAATTTTGTTTCAGTTCTGGAATTTTTCCGAATACGTTTTTTTTTTCATTTTTCACTTTCATATATATTTTGATATTTGAGTTCTTATATTTTTCAGATTTTATATTTTCAGTTTCAAATCTTTTTTTCACTTTCACGTCGTTTTTTTCAGTTCAGGCTTTTGACCCTGATCTAGCGTGGGGGGCGTGGCATCAACTGAGAGGGGCGTGTCATCATGAGTGACAGCATAATGAAGAAGGCTGTGGACTTCCTCAACCACGTTGCCTTCAGGTAACGTGGGCACCGCGAGAATTATGATTCAACACTTTCTATACACCATATTCACGTGATTGGAAGTAAAAAAAAAATTACGCTAGTGACAAAGTTCTGTGTAGCGAGCTGTTTTAGCCTCTACTTGGCACAAATCACAGTAAAAGAACAATAAACTATGACACATTGGGCCGTTTTTTGCTGTATTTTTCAATGTTCAAGAACACAACTTGAACTTTCAGGTTCAAATTATTTTTTCAAATGAACAAAACTTTAGACCTGGATTTAGCTCCACACCAGATTGACTCAGTCATAGTCTCACCAGACTACATTTAAATATGTACTTATTTTAAACAGTATAGACTCAGTAAAAACAAATTGAAAGTCTTTGTAGTTTTTCTCTGGTTCAAACTGTCCTGTCTCTCTGCGTCCACCTGTCCTGTCTCTCTGCGTCCACCTGTCCTGTCTCTCTGCCTCCACCTGTCTGTCTCTCTGCCTCCACCTGTCTGTCTCTCTGCCTCCACCTGTCTGTCTCTCTGCCTCCACCTGTCTGTCTCTCAGTGAGTTGGAGCGTCTCAGTGGTCTGGTCGGTCGTCCCTCAGAGTCTCATCCTCTCCATAACAGCGGCCTTCTCAGTCTGGATCCAGTTCAGGACAAAACCCCGTTATACTCTCAGCTGCTACAAGCCTACAAGTGGTCCAACAAGGTAAATAAGCTAACATGCTAATGTGTTAGCTCACCTGTACTCTTCACATTTGATGCAGATGATTGTAAACCTGATATCTCAGTGTTGTGAGAAGAACTATTATTATTATTAATCCTATAAAACAGAAATAATATTTGCTAAGTTACTCTTTAATAATTATGAAACAGATCATAAAACTCAAGGTTTGGATCATGTTACGGTTTTGAGTCACAGATGGGAACATTTTTTATGAACAAACATTAACAGACAACAAAACAGTCTTCTTACATTGCTATCTCGCTTTATTTCTTTAGTTTTAACAGCAAAACATCAAATGTACTCGTTGGCAGACTCTGCTGATATCTTCATTTAACTGATAGTTTCTTAATCTTACATTTGATATCATTATTCTCTTCAGTGACACACTACAGACTCACACTGTTGTGAGGTCATCACTTGCTGTTTCCTCTAGGATGAAGTGTGATAGATGTCATGTGTACAGAATGAACAACATAACACAGTTACAACACATTCAATGACGAAGTATTCATATGAGAGATGGAAACATTACAACTACTATAAGTAACAGCAGCAGTGGATATAGTAGAACAATGATAATAAAATAAGTAATGGTATCAGTAATGGTAATGTGACTAATGTGTCAGCAGGACCACGGTCCAGATAAAACCAGGATCCATTGAAACCTGTAAGGAGAGAAAGAACAATGTTGGTAATGGGACATGAATTCATACAGAAGGAGAGAGAGAGAAGAGGAGAGAGGAGCTCAGTGTGTCCTAGGAAGTCCTCTAGTAGTCTAGGTCTATAGCGGCATAACTAGGGCTGGTCCAAGGCAAACCCGAGCCAGCCCCGACTACGAACCCGAGCCAGCCCCGACTACGAACCCGAGCCATCAAAGAGTAAAGTCTTAAGACTACTCATAAATGTGGTGAGGGTTTCTGCCCCCCGGACTGAAACTGGAAGCTGGTTCCACAGAAGAGGAGCTTAAAAACTGAAGGTTCTGGTACTTATTCTACTCTTTAAGACTCTAGGAACCACAAGTAACCCTGAATTCAGGGAGCACAGCTCTCTAGTAGGATAATAAGGTACTATAAGTCTTAAGTTCTTCTTTAAAATATGGTGTCTGATCAATCAGGGCTTAGTAGGTAAGTAAAAGGGTTTTAAATTGCATTTTAGATTTTACAGGCAGCCAGTGCAGAGAAGCTAATACAGGAGTAATATGACCTCTTCCCTTAGTTCTTGTTAGTACACGAGCTGCAGCATTCTGAATCAGCTGGAGAGATTTAAGAGACTTATTAGAGCAGCCTGATAATAAGGAATCACAGTAATCTAGTCTAGAGGTAACAAATGCATGAACTCATGTTTCTGCATCTCTTTGAGACAAGAAGTGTTGTAGGTGAACAGTTTTATCTGGAAGTTAAAGGACAAATCCTGATCAAAGGTAACTCAGAGATTCTTTACGGTGCTGCTGGATGTCATCTAGAGAAACTATATCATTAGATATATATGATATATAGGTGTTCTGGGCCTAGTAGAATAACTTCAGGTTAGGCTGAGTTTAACATCAGGAAGTTGCAGGTCATCCAGGTTTGTATGTCCTTAAGACTGCTTGAAGTTTAGAAAACTGGTTGGTTTCATCTTGATCGATAGATATAATTGAGTATCATCTGCAAGACAATGAACGTTTTCTGATAATATTGTCTAAATGAAGCACACACAGCAGATCCAAAGTTAGTCAAAACTCTTTGATCTCACAGACAGTATATGATGGTGATATTTGTGTATCTGTTTGTATTTATGTATATGTGTGTGTAGTTGCAGTACCACGCTGGTTTGGCCTCCAGTTTGTTGAATCAACAATCACTCAAACGATCGGCCAATCAAATGGGAGCTTCAGCCAAGAGACGACCCAAAGTCCAACCCAGTACTCTGGTACTACCTCCTCAGTGAGTACTTCAGCGATGCATGCATTGTTATAAACCGCGTTATAATTTGTTATAAACAGTGTTATACAGTAACAGTGTTGTGAACTATGTTATGAACAGTGTTATAAAGAGTAACAGTGTTGTGAACTATGTTATGAACAGTGTTATAAAGAGTAACAGTGTTATAATCTGTTATGAACAGTGTTATGAACTGTGTTATAAAGAGTAAAAAAGACTTGAATCATCACTGTCTCTGTCATCTACCTGTTGGGATCTGTATCTATTAAATGTAAAATACTGTAATACTTTCTGTTACAGTACTGTAATACTCTGTTCCTCGGTGTACAGGTATGTGGATGATGTCATCTCTCGGATCGGCAGGATGTTTCCTGATATGACCATCGAGCTGTTCAGACCCAACGGGACATCTGCTGTACTGCTGGTAATACATTATTTGAACCCTCTCTACAGGTGTGTTCAGACTAGGTAACGGGTGTGTTCAGACTAGGTAACGGGT